ACAACCAAACTCATGTTCCAAACACTGTGGGAACTGGGTATTGAGTGGGTCGCTCCTCTACCTAAAGACGTCAAGAACTGCTGGACGCAGTGGCACACTCAGCTACACTAACGGACGTAACAGTGCCAAGACAATATGGTGGCTTGCCCAATGACAGTTGGAAGGAAGTGCATATTTTCACTGATACGAGCCCTAAAGCATACGGTGCTGTTGTGTATTTATGCACACATGAAATCAACGAAGCCACAGTGACTCTCGTTCTTTCAAAGTCCCTAGTAGCACCGATAAGGAAATTGTCTCTTCCTCGATTAGAATTGATAGGCATGGTTATAGGTGCTCGATTAAAGGAATACTTGGAACAATCACTGGGTCTCCCTGTAGACAGATGGCACATGTGGACAGACTCATCTATTGCACTACATTGGGTACGAGGTTCCGTGCAACAATGGAAGCCCTTTGTCGCCAACTGAGTTTTGGAAATTCAGCAGAGAACGGATCCACAGCTCTGGAATCACTGTTCAGGAAATGAAGATCCCGCCGACCTCCTGACAAGGGGAATCGCAGCGAAAGCACTTAAGGCATGCTCAGTGTGGTGGAACAGACCTCCCTGGCTTGCACAGTCATCTACTTGCTGACCAAATAATGAATACACCGCTGACGTGACCATGGCCGAGGAGGAAAGAAAGATAGTTCAAGTTCACAACGTGACTGTGAGGGAATCCATATAACCTCTGCAAAAATACAGCTCCCTCTCTAAACTGGTTAGAGTTATTGCCTGGGTACTGCGATTCGTTCACACCTTCAAAAACCCCTACAAGAAACGTGATGGGCATCTTACCACAGAGGAAGTTCAAGACGCACACGCTTGTTTGATTCTTCAAACAATTGGAGGCATTCCAATATGAGCTGTAATGTCTTCGCCGCTTAATATGCATGCCAAGTGATTCCCCGATACGAGACCTGGGCGTCTTCTGCGACGACAAGGGTGTTTTAAGAGTAGGAGGATGGCTGAATGCTGCCGAGATGTCCTACACTGTTAAACATCCGATGATCCTCCCGTCGAGGCATCTCATCACAGAGCTCCTCATCAACGCAGCTCACCGTCGCCTTTTGCATGATGGCGTTCTAGAGACTCTCACAGGACTGAGAGAGAGGTACTGGATAGCGCGAGGAAGCAAATGGTGAAAAAGGCGCTAAGAAAATGTGTGACATGCAATCGTTTCAACAGTTGTGCGGCTACTGAACCGGTCGCTCCTCTGCCTCGTGAAAGAGTGACACAAGCGCCACCCTTCCATGCAACAGGTGTTGATTTCACTGGGCCACTGAACACAAAATACCAAGAAAGGAACAGAAAGTCCTACATCGTCATTTTCACGTGTGCTGTTACGCGAGCAATACACCTCGAATTGGTGACTAACATGTCGACCCCTAACTTTCTGATGGCCTTCCAAAAATTCATCTCGAGGGATGGGGTTTGTCGAGTCATCTTCTCGGACAACGATAAGACTTTCAAGCGTGCTTTCAAGTATCTGCAGAGACTTTGCGCCACAATACGATGAGAAGACATGCATAATTTCTTCTTAAACCACCAGATCCGCTGGAACTTCATAATTGAAAAAGCGGCTTGGGGTTGCGGGTTCTGGGAGGGAATGGTTCGTTCCGTGAAAGCATCCCTGAAGAAGGTCTTGGGAAACAGCTATTGCAACTTTGAGGAACTCACGACAATACTAATCAAAATTGAAGCTATCCTCAACTCTCAACCCCTGGCCTACGTCTACACAGACGCGAACGAACCCAAACCTCTAACACAGTCTCATTTCCTGATAGCTCAGAGACTCACAACTCTCGCTGACAGTCGCTCCATCACTGAAGTCGCCCATAAACTTGGTTAACTCACCTGTCACTGGCAATACCGACAAATAATAACCGACCAGTTTTGGCGTCGGTGGCGAAACAAGTACCTCACGAGTCTTCGATCAGTGCATTTCTCTGTGCCAAACTCATCAAGTGCACAGAAGCAAGCAACCCTCGTCTTCGTTCATGAGAATAATCTGCCAAGGCAGTTGTGGAAAACCAGAGAAATGGCCGAGGTTCTTCTGGGACCTGATCAGAAAATCCGAGCTTGCATAGTGCGCATGCCGAACGCAGCCATGTTGAGAAGACCAGTTCAACTTTTATACCCCATGGAATACACGGACAAATGACTAGAGGGTCATTCCGTGGGGAGTATGAAGAAACTGCCATGTTCAGCCTTTTTCGTTTAGCCAACTGGCAACCATGTATTCCCCCAACCTCGCTCAGCAACGGTCATTCCTATCGAAATAAAGTTAGTTCTTTTGTTCATCCAAAACGGAGCAGTCGGTTCTTTTCTGACCTGCGATAGTTTCCTCAAGGAGCACATGAAGAGAAGCTCATACAAGCCATGACATTCGGGCACACTAAGAACCAAAACTAGCTAAAAAAACTGGCAAGGAGTGAAGCATGTAGGGAAAAATGTTTCAGCTCCACTGTCATCAGTTCTTTGTTGATTTAACTGTTGTCTTCTTCACTTTTAGTGGACCGGAGGTCAGTAGTAGGATTTAATAAATTTTTATGGTGCATACCAGCTTTTAGTATAAACTGTAACTACGTAACACAACGTGACGACAATAAATGTCGACAATTCGAGACCCTAAAGTGCTTCACCACTACATGGTTGCGTCACAAATTTCGTCGACCTTGTGTTGTTGTGATGCCCATATAGAATGACGTCATCAGATGAAGCTGGCTTAGTTATAGGCCGTCATCACATGACACACTGTGACTACAGGAGACACTGACAAGCTGAGCACTGAAGGTGCTGTGCACCTAAAGCATGTAAATTTTTCAGGGCATACTCATGCTTACCAGTGCATACAAATGCGAAGCATTTCTTAGTTAACCACACGCACTTTCAGCATTTCTACTGACGTCTCTGTATATCTACCTATGTATCTCTATGTATATATATTTTGCTGCCTATGTCGGGGTGCTCTTGGGATCGCCACTCTAACTTGGTGTGGACCAAGATTAAAATTAGGCTGAGTAACAGGGTTGGACAAATATGTCTGACTTGTCATGACAAAAATAACATGAAAGTCGTGTTGCGTAAGTCGTTAAACTTTTTCCTCAAGGCATATGTGGCACATGCCCTTATACCTTAGGCCGCAGGTATGGGCCACAGGTGATAGACAATATATATCAACCTAGGAATGCCAAGAACAGACATTCATAATTTATGTGCGAGAGCTTTATGAAAAACTCACATTGACAACATCGGAAATATCAGGGTCCAAGCAGAAATCGAATCTAAGCATTGTGCATGGCAATGAAGATCCTACACAGGCATAATGCTTGTGGAATGTCAATTGTGGTTGCAGTGGAAGCTTTATAATTCTGTAAACATTAAATACGTACTCCTGTGATGCAGGCGTCACTTTGAGTTAAAATATTTTGATTGATTTTGTGGGGTTTAACGTCCCAAAACCACTATTTGATTATGAGAGACGCCGTAGTGGAGGGCTCCGGAAATTTTGACCACCTGGGGTTCTTTAACGTGCACCCAAATCTGAGTACACGGTTGAGTTAAAATCTACCTAAGTGCCACGCACTGAAGTCGGTCTACGTACCACTGTCCAGGGCTACCATCCTCTCAAGCACAAAAGCTACACGTCAACTTACCACTTCTGGTGTTGGCAATATTCATGTTGCTCTCAGCATCGTTACACAACTTTGAACAAGTGGTTACACAAAACATATGCGACTCTTTAAGGTATGTCTTTGCGTAAAGCACTTGTCCTTATCATTTTGTAATGTCTTGCTGAACAAAAAATTACACCACATTCACCTTCTCTACGAATGTTCACATACGATTCATTCCATGGGCATATGTTATCTGCCAGATTTTTAATGCTCCTAAAGGCCTGGCCTCTTTTTATAGCAATAGCAATTATATGCACACTCTCGGCTGGATTTTGCAACCGGCGTCAGCGCCACCAACACTCCCTGTATATGTATACATATCTATATATATGAAAATGCAAGAAAGAAGAATAATCCAGAAAGAGACTCTGGCACGTGGAATCAAACGGAGGACCTCTCAATTGTGAGTGCGAGGCGTTAGCCACTGAGCCACAAATAAGCACCTCTTTCAACGTTCAAATGGCAAGCTATTTATATCTACCACTTACTCCTGGTGACGGGCATTTCGGGAAGAACTATCGTGTTTTCAGCATAACCAGCAAGATGGCACAATGAGCGCGCATCCCCACATTGTCACGACGTGGTGGCACGCGCTCTCATCTCCCATGTGTACTTTGCCCTGCGAAGAGGGTCCAAGGTGGATGCTCTTGCATGTGCTTATCTCACGGTGGAGATAATCGTATGTCTTGGCTGACGTTGGGCTTTCACCAGGATGATTCTGTTTGGTTACCGGGTGCACAATGGCCACTGCATCATTGTACAGTCTCCATTTGCGAAAAGGGTGCACTTTCAGACACAGCGAAGTAACAACTGAGACGCTTATTCGCATTCATCTGTACCTGTGAGTATGTTTCGTGCATCATTTGTGTGTGAGAAACGCAGGGCCCATTTCGATCTGCTTGCCATTCTGTGCATGACCTTCCCATTTGTTGCTATCGCGTTCATTGATTCATCTTTACGACAACGCTGTGACTTTTCTTTCATGAAAAATAAACTGAAAGCTTATCCTTTTATTACTTTTTGAAGCATCTAGTATGTATCTAAATTGCCTTTGGTATTTTGAAAAAACGATCGATTTACGTTATGCTTAGCTTTCTTCATTTCAACACTTGTGAGGGTTCTTCCTTTTTTAGATGTGGGCTCCTCCTGTTCTGCCCTTTTTACCACACCCTTGTATTAATTGAATTTGTTCATCTTTATTAGTTAGCCAGCTTGAACAGACAGAAAATCGTGAAATGCTTGCCTGCTGATAATGCCACTCTCTCCATCTTCTTTGTCAGTCCATACCGCAGTTCTGGCCCATCCTCAAGGGCAGCCTTCACAGCCCCATCATATGTGACAGCGACGTGGGAGAGAGGCTAGACCATCGCGCTGTCAACCGACTGGCCTCGCGGTACCAGGAGCACCTGAGGCAGTGTGCTGAAGTGGTCAGCACTGAGCAGAATGCACTGGCGGCGAGAATTCGAGAGGTATGGTCATGCTACTCAATATCCCCTTCAGTGGCAGTGGCTAGTTTGTGTATGCAGCTTCTTTATACAGTTGAACCGTTTTGTAAAAGACATGTACTGGGCAGCAATCTTTTCTTTTATATAAGGTGTCTCTGATAAGCAGAGTGCTATGCATGAGTTTTTTTGTCAACACCTATTTCACTGTAGGAACACTGGTGTCTTTTATACCCATTTATCACCTACATCGGCATACTCTTAATAATAATAAATGTTGGGTACAATCACAGGCGGAGATCCCCTAGTCAAGAACACAGAAGGAAATTCCATGGTCAAGAGACTCTATCAGGACCTCCTGTACAAAAGCAATGTGTTAGCAAAGACTTAATAGCATAGTAGCGAATGGTATCAGTCAAACGAAAATATAGTAGATAAATGTACAAATTATTGCATGAAATAGTATAATGTATATAAATCAACTCAAAGCAAAAAGTATAAAACAGGGAAGGAAGAAATAGCAAGTGATAGAACAGTTAAATAATCTTATAAAAAAAAAACACCCAACAAAAAGTACACATCAAATGCAACAAAAAGTAACTCTTATAGTTAGTCTGCGTAAAACAAATACATTTTCAGCTGTTTCTTAAATCGGGGAACTGAGCTTGGAGTTTTCATGTTAAGAGGCCTATAAAATTATTTGTCTGTAGTACTGTAGACAGAACGCTCACAGCTCAATAAACCGAAATTTGGTAAATGGAAGTGCTCTCTAAATGGAACAGGTGCATCAGAGAAGACGGTTTTGTTCTTGAATTCTGCAGCATAACTCAGTAAACCGAATTCCTCGTAAATGGAACATATTTTTTTGTGGTCTCTTCAGGTTCTGTTTAATGAGAGTCCACTGTAATTTTATCAAGTTGTGTCTAAAAGAGAGCAAGTTCATTGCTCGTAGGATGGATTGAACTTTCCACATAAGTCCTGTCACAACCTAACCCCAGTGTATGGCATCCGACTGTAGCGGATGACTTTGGTGAAGGCTCTGTAATGTTCGACGAGACGTCTATCATGTGACGTTTCACAACCGCTGTCAAAAGCATTACTTTTTTTTTTTTCTCAAACAGGAACACCACAAAATTCTAAATGCATACACATTTGGAGCCTATCATTACATTCTTTTTATGTTAAAATGAAACATGACTGATCACAGAATGATTAAATGTTCAGTTATGGGCTAAATAGTACACGAGTGAAGCTCACATAGAACAACAAATTAATTCATTTTCTTTTTTCAAATGTAGTATTCGGTAATTTTGTTTCCCTCTTTCAACCATTTTGCCACCTTGCGGGTCTCTGCAGAACTTATTTGCATTACTTACGGTCATGGGCTTCGATTTGTTAATGAATTTCCTCTTGATCTGATAAAACTAGGCTTCCTGGTTAGCTAAATTGGTAGAGAGACTGCCCCAGAAAGGCGTTGGACCCGGGCTTGATCCCCGGACCAGGACGAATTTTTCGGCAACGAAGAAGCTGCTATTCCTGAGAACTCCGTATGGATTTCCTTGTGGCTTCGTGCGACAAACGGCTGGTACTCTTTTTCCCTTTCTTAACAAAAAGCATCATTTGCTCTTCCAATGTGTTGTTCCTTCGGAGTTTTTCATTGGTTCTAATTATTCGAAAAGTATCCGGAAAACATTCAGTATGTCGAATGTTCCCTTTTCGGTTGCAGTGCCAAATCGAATAGAACGCTATTCGATTCGTTATTCGAAATTTTTAATATTTGCACCCCCCTAGTTTTAACATATCAGTGAGAACATTAAGTGCAGAGGTTGAAGGTTAGTGTGCATCGAATGAAAATAGTGCTCATAACCTCACAAAGTAAAAAATATCCACAATTGGTTGTGGGTCTATAGAATATGTGCAAGAGTACTATGTCTATCTAGGATGATTTCTCATCAGATGATCTGATAATGGGAAAGGGAAACTTACACAATGAAAATAGTTTGCAGAACAGAGAGGTTGGATATCAAATCCTAGTGGGCAGCAGCGCTCTATTATCCTCGTACAATGTAGAGTCAGTCAAAAAGTTGTAGGGGCTCTTAATTACCTATTGAAGTTCAGGAAAAAGACTCATCCTGGGGGTGAAAGATGGAGCTGTACAGATGTTAGCCAGTTGTCCACATTCACAGCAATGAGCTCAACAATAAATGAACATTCCAAGTGATCAAGAGTGACACTGATGACAAAGCTGCCGATTTTTCGAAGATTCTTGCAAGTTTGGGTGCTTTCACGGGATCGCTACAAGTCCTTTAGTGCCAATGTACAACATCTGAAGTTGTAGACATTGAAATGGTTCGAAGGCTCAACTTTCACTCAAATTGCATTTTTTAATAGAAGTTTTTGCACCCTAATGGATTTCAAGTCACTGACGCTCTGCCATAATGCCACCATGCTGTGCGGCTTTAAACACCTAACAGCCAGAATTCATTGTTATAACTGATAATACGGCGTGTGGGCATTTCCGTAAGTAGAAAACATACCATAGAAAACTCATAGAAGTTTACAATGTAGTTGCCTCTTATTGTTTCAAACAATATGTTGTTCAAACTGATATCATTATGAGTGGTTTGAACAACTTTATGCGAGCTCTGTAAGGAACAGTCAGCAAACATGTTGCAGGAAATAATGCCACATATTTTATTCGTGAGGCAGTTAAATTATAACAATTCAAATGTACTGAGGAACTGCTATGCCTAATATTTGCCTTTGTCTAACTTTGACATGGCATCTTTAGCTTGCGAAGCTTCATTGTCGTATAGAGGCCTCTACCTTCTAATCCCAAGGTGAGCTACATACTGGTTAATGTCAGAGTGGACTGAATAGCTTACTGAATTTCACTTTCTACAAATTAGTTTTCACTTCACTTAGACAAGACTTGACTCACTGGCTTGATTAATTGCGGCTTTTGCAGCAGCTACTGTGTGCTAGTGCAAACATGTGCAAAATACTGGTTGCTTTTTATATCTCGCATTATTGTTACATGGTTCCAGGTCTTGTAACTCCGCAGTTGGGATACCAGCATTTATAGGTAGAGAGAGACAGAGAGAGATAAATAGAGAGGAAAGGCAGGGAGGTTAACCAAGCTTGGTTAACCTTTCATAGGTAGACTGTGGCATCAAGTTACTTGTCAGTACTCTTCAGCGTGAAAGTATTTTTGGGCAGGTTGAAAAAAGAGTGCTCTCGGCAGGCATCAACAAATGCTATATCTCGAAAGCTCATGATCGCTCCCACTAGAACTTACATCGCCGCAAGCAACTTTTGCAACAACCACTTTCTTGTGTGACATACAAGAGTAGAATCTCTACAGCACACTTTGCTCTACCGCTTCTCAGGAAAACAAGACGAAAAAATTCGAAAAAATGCTCTAGTGTTTATCTCATAAGAATGTTTTTAAAGATCATCCACAACATTTCTTTTACTAGTTATGTGTCACATCTTCATGTGTGAAGAGCGTGTGGCACCGTTTCCACCACTTCTTAAGTATGTCTGGACTGTATTAATGGTCGACTGTGACGAAATTTCAGACCTGAAATTTCAGACCAGAATGAAAATTAATTTCACATTGTGGAGAGAGTGGGCCTCCATGGAAAGTGTGAATGAAACCAAACAAAAGCGTCACATAAAAACTTGAAACAGTAGCCTTTCTTATGTTAGGAGACTGAAGAAACTGCCAGCATCTTAGCTTACTTTTAATGGGACACATTGCAAAGGTCAGACTGAACGCACAGTTCTCCAGTTTTACCTCAGAGATAAGGAGTGCACGTACATCTCTGAGGCAAGGTCACTCATCTCTACATCTTGATGACAACCATTAAGTGCACGAGTCATGCACTTCCGTGCCACTTGAGAAATAGTAGCAAGAAGACTATACCATTTAGGCCTGAGTCTTGCAACCGTGTCAAGATCATTTTAAGGGTAATTTACTACTCGCTCATAATGAATTCATCAATACAAAATATAAATTGCAATTTTGCCTTTTCCATACTGTTTGCAATCTTTTTTTATGTGAATGCCTACATTTAGTAATACCCAGAGGCAATCCCAGTGTCATAGTATATCAGCATACAGCGAAAAGATTGGTTTCAAGCAGACTGAGTTTGTAATGCAGAACACCACCTCTAATGTTTTTGAGGGATCCTGAAAAAATAAAGCAGACAGGGTAGCTAGTAATGTATAATGCAAAGCTGTTTAAAATTGGGAGGAAGTATTGGTAAAGGTGACAATGAAGGCACAGCACATAGCTCTTGTTGAGAATAACTTATTCATCACTTTATGGCTAGAGTAAGTCCTTGAATGAAATCTGGCATGTCTTTCACACCTCTCCCTGGACCAGATCCTTTTTGAGCACATCAGTGGTCTCGTCACATTCCATTGCAAACTCATTTATGTTCCTCCTCTGCATACTTAGCACAGAAACAGGTCGCGATTTATTTGATAAAACATTGCGTGAAGGATCTGTGGGAAGGGGCTGCTAATATGTGGATGTCTGTAGACTCTTTGGTGGGCAGCGTGCTATAAATTCTATGCACACATAATGGTTTGAACAAACAACATAATGGCGAGGTTCTACTGTGCAGTATTTGCATTCAAGTTACACTGTTGTTGAATGCCTTGTAAGGCACTGGTATGTTGCAACGAACGGTCTTGTTCATTGCAGATTGACTATGTGGTGTCCCAGCTGAGCACGATGATGACAGAGCGACAAAAGAAGTTTGGCAAGTACGTGGAGCAACTGCTGAAGGTGCATGAACTCTCAAACCTCCTGCAGACGACGGAGAGTGCATTGGCGAAAACAATCGAGCAGCTGGATCAACTTAATCGACTGCTGCCTCCCGATGAACAGCTGGAACCGTTCGTCATGGTTACTGGCTGAGTGTTAGTGTTGTGAAACATTTGTGATGGTTTGGCCATAAGAGACTGTATGAGGCAGTGTGACACTACATAGTTTGGCTGAGTGCTCGAGTGAAGTACCTATAGTATCAAGTGGTAAATAAAATCTTATTTAATCGATCTGTGATGTGCTTTAGCTATCTGCTTCGCATATCTGCTTCAAGAACTTTTTTTTTTATTGAGCTGGGAGATTACTAGAGTGAACGTACTAAAGAAGTTGCTATATTAATGCTCCAGTTGTTATCATGAAAAATGCATGGTTCATCCTCACAATGTGTTTACTCAATGAAATTCGAACCCAGCTGTCGAACTCGCTATATAAGAAAAATACAAAATAGATAGGTAGGACGGGTATCTCATCCTATCTGTCCCTATTCATCGATTTGTCTAATAGCCATGAGGTGTAATGCAGTACACATGACATAGCTTTAGTTATTTTTATGCCATGAAACTCTACATCGCTAGCTAGGTAGACAATGAGAGTTTAACCCAAATATTGCACTTGCAATAGAAAACATACAAAAAAGATAGGTAGGCCAGGTGTCTCATCTTATCTGTCCTTATTCCTCAATTTGCGTAATAGCCATGACGCATAATGCAGTATGCATGACATAGCTTTAGTTAATTTGGTGCCATTAAACTCTAAATCGCAAGCTAGGTAGACAGTGAGAGTTTAACCCAAATGTTGTACTTGCAATACAAAACATACAAAAAAGATAGGTAGGTCAGGCGTCTCATCCTATCTGTCCCTATTCCTCTATTGCTTATTCTTTAAGTAGTATGCATCGTAGCTTTATTTAATTTTGTGTCATGAAACTACACATCTTAAGTAAACATTAAGAGTTGAACTCAGCTATCGAAATCGCTATATACAAAAAATTCAAAAGGGATAAGTATGACAGGTATCTCACCCTATGTGTTCCTATTTCTCAATTTCTCTATTAGCCATGAGGCATAATGCAGTACGCATGAGATCACTTTAGTTATTTTGGTGCCAGGAAACTCTAGATTGCTAGCTAGGTAGACACTAAGAGTTTAATACAAATATTGAACTCGCTATACAAAACACATAAAAAATAGATAGGTCAGGTGTCTCATCCTATCTGTCCCTATTCCTCAATTTGTCTAATAGCCATGAAGCATAATGCAGTACGCATGACTTAGCTTAAGTTACTTTTGTGCTTTGAAACTCTACATTGCTAGCTAAGTAAACCATGAGAGTTGAACCCAGATATTGAACTTGCAATACACAGCATACAAAAAGATAGGTAGGTCAGGTGTCACATCCTGTTTGTCCCTATTTCTATATTGCTTATCCTTTAAATAGTACACAATGTAGCTTTAGTTAATTTTGTGCCATGAAACTCTACATTTCTAGTTAGGTAAACAACAAGAGTTGAACTCGGATATTGAACTTGGAATACAAGGTACACCTGTTGGCATTCCTCTAGTTAAGTGCTGTTTACGGCTGCAGCAACTTATGGTTTGTATAGACAAGAAGGGCATGCTTGCCACAGTCTTCTGTCAGATCTAGTCTTACCTGGAAGTTTGTTATGCACCATCAATGTAATAATGTAACACCTCCGTGTACCTACAGCAACCAAGGCACGTTACCAGTAAATAGTTAGAGTGTTAGAGTTACAGTTACCTACGCCAATAAAAGTAACCCTGTTACAGTTACCAAGGTTCCAAAAGTAACTTGTTACAGTTACCTGGAAAAAGTAATGAAGTTACTTTTATGTTACCGTATAAAATGAGTAATAGATTCTAGCAAGTGATAGAATTAATTTAATAAGAATGTACAACAAGCTATGGAAAGTGTAACGAGCCAAAATGAAGTCCGCTTCCATTCGCTATATTCTTCAAGGTGTACCAGACCCTGTACAGAGAGATTTGCATCCACTGAGCATACAAGCGATTGGGACATGTGTTCCCAAGTCCCAATGACAACACACCCTTAGGCAATCAATGTTGGATCATCTACAAGTGTGATGCAGGGATTGCAAAGCAACATAATTACATTGGTGAAATCGGCAGCAGTGGATCGGGAAAGGACCAGGAACGGAAAGTTTGCTAAATTTCAGCTATGCAATGCTTTGATAGACGGAGCTTGTTGAACGCTGCTGGATGGGGTATAGCTTTGACCTAAGCAATAAGACGATGCTGCCTCATGAACGGAAGGGAAAGAGTGCGGGGGGGAGGGGGGAGACTTTTGAAAACATTTCAAGGACATCTGGGACTAACGGACTAATTGATGCTCGCTCATTTTGCCTTATTTTTTTTTTTGTTGCCTTTGTATAAAGAGGGTGCCACCTGCACGGAAGGCGAAGCGTTCGTCATGTTGTTACTCATTATTTAGTGGAAACAGATCTACGAGAATCAGTTACAAAGAAGTTTTAAAAGATTGCTTCGCTACTTCTTGGTCTTCTGATTCTCAGCCATTTCGCAGTTCTGTTACTATCTCGGAGCCTCCGGACAAAGGAATGCTCCACCAGCACACCAAGAACAGAGCTTGGAAAGTGACAAATAGAATATATGTGCTCCCCACGGCCACCCCACTCTCTTAAGAAAGGAATGTGAAGTTGGCAAGATTTTCAGTAGCAACGTGGGTGATTTATGACATGCAGTTTACAAGTGAACTCCAAATATGGTCTTTCGCACTGAACATACTCCTCTTAGCGACATCTTATTACATTCAAGGGGAGCCCTAAGTTTAAAGGCAGAGAGTATACAGTAAAAGAGAAAATTCAAAGGGAAAAGCGTTTAACATCAACTTTTAACGAGTGTTGCTGTTGGATGACATTTTACAAAAAAGTAACTGTAACAATATTTTCTGTTACAATTACTGTGTAATAGGCAACTGTGTTACAGTTACAAGTTACTGAACAAAGTAACCAGTTACCAGTGATGGGTTACCAGTAGCTTTCACTGCCCAAGACTAACCTACCGCAAAATCTGTCAGTGCGTTCCCAGTTCTTGCTACACACGCTGTTTGATAGAAATGCTTCATGATAGTGTTTTGTGTCCTAAACTAGTGACTTCAGTTTGGCCGTGCAAGACGGGCCATGCTTCGTTGATAGAGTTTGGATTGAGGGGCTATTAGAGGCATTCCACATTTATGAATCGGTCAGTGCTCTGTGCAAGTTTGATTGCAATATCTTTGTTAAAGCTCTTCAGAGACACGTTTACAAAGTTGTCGTATCCATCACAAACATGAAACTTGCCTTCTGGTGATGTTTATCATATATGAGAAGTGAAGAGCAAATGTATATGATAGAGACATGTTTGGCACTGGAGTAGAGTAACAAGACAAACTTTCTCAGTACAAGCAGAAAGGTAGGAAGAATGATGACGGATGTGTGACGCTCAATCAAGTTCTGCAATATACTGATCTTCAGGCAGATTGGAAATTTAGGTGAGCTGGTGTATAAAATGATAAAACAGTGGGAAAGGCCAACACATGCAGAATGAGAAATAGAGGAGGACATATACAACAATATGCAATGCTAAGGACAAATATTTCAAAAACGACATACCCTCTCTTTTGCAAAAAAAATCCCAAACATTTTCTTGCCTTATATCCTCTGACCACAATTCTAACCAGCTATCATTACTTGATGAACATAATCTTCCACTTTAAGATTACGAATGTTTTGCTACATTTGATACATTTTTAGGGGCAAAGCTTCTTAAAGCGTCGGCTTGTCGGCCGTAGTTGTCTGCCGTAGCCACCCCTTGTACGCAAAATATTCACTGGATGGCGCTCACATCATTCGAGATGTGTCGATAAACAGATGGATGGATGAACGGACAGACAGACGGATGGATAGACGGACGCTTTATATCCACTCATCATCATTCACTCCGTGGATATGCTGTCATTTTTTCTGATCGCATTTAGCTGGGAAGATCGTTCCAATGTGCCAAATATCACTGAATACGAGTTTTAGTACCTGCACCTCATTGTAATCATGGTGGATGGTTTCACGAGTTGAATAAAACAAATGAAGGCATCCTTATCAGCCGATATTGATGATATCAACTCTAAGATGATAAAACAATGTCATTCCATATTTATTATTACATTACACCACATCCTTCGACAGTCGCTGTTGTCTCGAAAACTGCCATATGGCTGGAAAATTGCCAAAGTTATACAGATTTTTAGGTCTGGAGATAAAACTCACTCAAAAATTACAATCTAATCTCACTCACGTGTCATTGTTGTAAAATACTTCACCACATAATCGCTTTGCATGTCTACAGCCACCTCGAGACTAGCATAGTCTTCTTCCTTAACCAGCACGGATTCAGAAAGGGCATGTCATGTGAAACACATTTACTAGAAACACATATACTGACACTCATTAGAACATAAATAATGGCCTGCAAACTGAGTATATATTTCTGGACTTTCCTAAAGCCTTCGACCTTGTCACCCATTGCCGTCTTATTTTTAAATTATCTTCCCTCCGATTAGACTCCCTCACTTTATCTAGGCTATGAAATTTTCGTTTCATTCGCAAGCAGTTCAGAACCGTTAATAATTCTTCCTCTCCTTCTTCCTATGTCTCTTCTGGCATCCGACAAGGGAACGTTCTTGACCCATTACTCTTCTTCATCTACATCAACGACCTCCCATCTAACATATCATCAAATATCAAAATCTTTGCAAATGACTGCATGCTCTAAATACCTATAAACTGACTTAATAATGATTTCATTCTTCAAGATGATCTTAACATTATCTCTAACTGGTGTAAGACTTGTCTCATGACTTCAAATAATAGTACATGTGAAGTTGTTTCCTTTGCACATAAACAAGTCATTTCTAACTTTACTTCTATATAGAGTGACAGGCTTTCCCAGGCAACTTCCTATAAATATCTCTGCACCCACCTTACACCAACATTTTATGGCTTGAACGCATTACTGCAGTTTCTGCAAAAGCCTCCGAAACATTAGGCTATTAGTGCCAAAACCTTCATCAGTGCCTAACGTTTGCAAACTGTCCTACCTAACTTTTGTACGCCCAGAACTTGAATACAACTTGTCAGTTTGGCATCCGTCCTCTCATTATCGAACAATATGCTTGAAACTATTTAGAACAGAGCCACCCGT